GCTAGATGCACCTTAACCCCGAAAAAATTCCACATCACCTTCTTATTAGACATGCCACGTCAGATTTTCTGGTCAAATTTGTGTTGACTCATCAATTTAATGGTCAAACTAACAGATCTGTTAGCATGGGATACCGGTGCACTAATTTAATTACTTTGAGGGCAAATTTGCACCACAAAATACTTCAGGCCACTGGGTGCACTTGGCTAAATACATGGGGTGCTGGGTGCACCTTAACCCTAATAATTATATATATAATGATGGTTATGTATCAAAGAAAATGCGATGCTCATTGAAACTGAAGTGGACTCATGTAAATACCGAGCGTAGAATTAGCCAGGAATAAAATCCAGTGAACTTGTAACTTATAATCTCATGCAGTTCGTGTATGATTAAAAAAGAATTATAGGAACAAGGATGACCAGTTAGTTTTGTCTAAACAAGGCAGAAGCAAGTGATTGGAGGCCGTTCGTTTCGAGGATAGCTTTCCACGTCAGTATATGATCTGAGCTTCGGAGTCCCATCAAAGCTAGCACCAGTCTGTGGGGAAAATTGAAGGAGCTCACTACTGTCACTAATGCGTTTTCTGACCTCTGCTCTGGCTTTTGGGTACATATGTGCAGGTGGGCGCACGTCATCAAGTCGGACCACTCCATTGATCAGTCCCATCCGTGTCCCCTGATTCAGGTGCATACATTTGCATGTATACATATATATATATATTCACACACACACATATCCTCTCATGGATCCATGCTCACATCAGCAGCAAATACCAACAGAATACATATAAGAGCATTATACACGCGCAAGCACGCGCGCACATCCTATCAGGTATCAGCATACATATACCGACCCTTCATCACTAGGACGAAATCGCTTTTGTTTAGTCAAAGGTATCCGTTGTTAGTAATGACAAATCACCTTGCGCCCTAGAATTTCCGAAAAGAAATTGGTGTGGCCCACTTCATTCAAATTTTATCATTTATCTCTGAATCAGTAGCCAAGGTACTAAAACCCCACAAATTAATAGCTTGAGAGAGCAGTAAAGACTAAGGATAGTGATAGTTAAATTAATTTAATTAGAATATGTAAAAATATTTATTGTTTTTATAAAAACAATATATAATCCAAAGCAAAATCTTAGATAGGTGCGTCGAGTGTTCAAGTGTATAAAATCAGTCTCATTTATACGTTTCAGCCACCTATTTCAGTGTCTCATTTATACGTGTCAACCTCCTCTTCACGTGTGATGGGGGTTGATAGGACACAACTTTCGCTTTTCTTTTGTCTTTTTTTTCTTCCTTATTTTCTTTTTCCCGAGCGTTTAACAGGCATCATCATTCATGATTCAACAGTCGTCTCAGAATCATATCTCCTCAGCGGCTGAAATTCTCAGAAGATCGTGCATTTAAAATTAAAAATAAATGTGAATTGCTTTCAAACAAATTTTGAATATTTTTTTGTGTGATTTTCTGGACCTACCTCATTGCAATTAGAGGATTTAGAACTAATCTGAATTGAGTCATTACCAGCTCTGCCGCAGTTTTTATTCTCTCTCCTTCTTCTTCTTCTTTTATCCGATAATCTTCTTCCTTCTCAATTTCTTGTCTTTTGCATAAAAAAGTGATCCAAATAATCCGCCCAGTTCAATGGGCTACCCGACTTCTCATTGGGTCAAAATCCCCCGTGTTGTTGCCATCAGTTAGACCCCAATTTTTGTTTTTAAAAAAAAACCCTGAGTCTTTGGTTTCGGGTCAATCCTACGGATCTGGTCTAGTTTTCCTTTTTCTAACCAACGCGAGCATCTACTGGGAGAATTACCATACCACCTTAGTCAAAGTCAACTCTATCAAATTTTGTCCTTTCCTGTTTGTTTTCACTGGCCTTTGCATTTTTCCCACTGCTTGTTGCATAGCGAAGCATGTCGAGCCGCAGGAACGGGTATTTCCCACTGCTTACTTCACAAGTCTTATTTATTTTAAGAAATGGTCACAAGCAATCTTGAATATTAAATTCCTTTTCATCATTTTATGCGTATAATTCAAACTTCTGGCAATTAATTGTACTTAGAGCGATTGTTTCGGTACATGGCATTTTTGTTTTTGCAAAATGAAATGGCTGCGCAGATTCATCAACTGGGCCAAGGCCCAAGGTATATAAAAAACAATTTTTTCTTACCATCATAATAAAAAGCAGTAGGTGATGGAAATGCTTCAGCCCCGTCGTATAAACGGGGGCATGGGATATCGAACCTGTCCGGGCCGAATGCGTTCAGTCCACCCCAACACTATTATCCGGCCCAAATAAATTTCCTACAAATTTTGTCTTATTTTTTCTGCCCATTTAAGTCTTACTGCCGAATTCACTCCTAACCCATAAATTAGAGGACTCGCTACATATGTTCATTGCCATGCATTAAAAAAAAAAAAAGAAGACATTCAACTGCAAGAATCATATTCAACGTGGCCTTTAGAACTTTAGATGCAACGATGCGGTGAAGGAATCTATCTGCAGAAGTCGTCAAATCCCATGTATTCATTCTGCTGAATCTTTTCAATCATGTCTGATACACCAACTCCACCTATAATCACAAACAAAGAACCATAAAACCACAAAACGCACCGAAAGGCCAATCAGTCAAAAATAATAAATCAAAAACAAAAACAATAATACACAGCCTAACTTCTTGCAGGACACTTACCCAATGCAATTGCGCTAACAAATACGGTGAAGGCCACAACAAAGATAATCAGAGACGCCCTTCCGAATAATCTAACCAGCTTATCAATGACATATTGCCCTAAATACGCTGAAATGGCTGCCACAGTGGTCAGATACAGAGCTGCAAAACAAAACACCAAATCATTATCTCATGTTACTTTGATTTCTGAACCAAAACAAAGGAATAAAAAAGCAGAAACCGATGAATATTACGCCACAATTTACCATAAGGAACAGGAAAACGGTTCAAGAGGTAATACTGCACAACAGATATAGATGCTGAGAATGCCATTCCTAACGTAGCCGTGGCACTGGCTACCTGCAGCGCCATTTTTCGACATGAATAACTTAACACGCTTTGTGAATTCCCACGTAATGTCCTTAACATATACAAAAAGAAGGCAAACTTACCTGAGGAGCGATTCCTAGTTCCATAAATAAGGGACCCATGACAAATCCACTACCTACGCCGAGAAGGCCAGCGATAATTCCGGCGGACAGAGCGCAAACAATGGCCAGAATCAGATGGTGCAATGGCAAACGAGTGCCTTCTTCTCCTTTGGAAGGAATAGCTCTCCATCCCTGATAGAGGCCTATTGCTTGGTACAGATACACTCCAAACGAAACCGGTACCTGCAAAATATCACAAAATTAAAGCGATGGTTCTTCATTTTAAGCCATACCTTGGACATGCATATAGTTTTCTTACCTGGAAAAAGTTTACTATCCAGAACGTGACTGAACAGGTAGCTGTGTAAGTCTGTGAGAAGCATGTTTGACTGTTAGTTTCAGAGAATGTTCAAAGGAAAGAGGGGAGAATGTAGGGAAAGCCGAAAGTGACCTTGGCAATCTGCAGGATAACGTATGAGAGCCAGACGAAGCAAAGAAGTCCGAATTCTTTCCAATAAATGTTGCCAATAATGGAAACCTGAATCAATCAATAGTTTGATCAAGTAAACAAGGGTCAGGATTTAATTAAAAGAAAAGGACAGATTATGATGAGAGATGTTAAGTCAGACATGATCGCTTATAGTTTGCAAACCTGAGTTTTTTTAGTGTCCTTTTGAGGCCCTGCAGGAAGCAAGCTGTACCCTGCTAACCCGTTAGCCGTTTCTGCATAAAAGACAGAAAGCGCCAATCTAGTTTTTCTCTCTCTCTGTCATATATAAATATAAAGATACTATTGAGCATGCACAAAATTAACCCTTTAAGAAATACACGAACCAGAAGATTCGAAAAGCTTGGCGCTCTCCTGCTATTAAAAAAGGAAAAGAAAAAGAAAAAAAGTATTAACTCTATATTTAACTCAGTCTAGGGATGGTTGACTTTCTCCAGGCAAAAGGATTCACATGCATGAATGCCTGGTTAGATATATGAACCTGTTTTACTTTGGTTTCCATTTTCCATGTATCAGCACCCTTGAAGAATGCCTTGATTGAGGTACCTGTAGGGGCCCGGATAGAAAATGAAGCATATGGATGAAGCAAATAACTAAACAGTAAACCTATTTGAACATTTCATTACCTATAAAGATAAGGATCAGAAGAACAGTGATCATCCAATTCGCAAATACAACACTGAAATAGACTCCTGTAGTAATCCCCAGCATGATTATGGGCAACATAAGCAGCACAATATTATAGTCAATTAAGGGTATATCAAACGTAGGATTCTTCAGCTTCAGGTTGAAGTAAACAGTGGATGCCTGCCCCCGTGATCATCCTGCAAGACCATTTTCTAAGTATATCTATCGTAATGCCCTGTCATGTCACAAAGATATATGTAGATTGAATCTTACATTTTGAAATGGCGGTTGCTGATTTTGGATCAAACCCAATGACCAGCATCAACATCGGAACAAAGAAACCGCGCCGCCAACACCGCCGACGCTCCCGAATGCTCCTCCTAAGGATGCAATGAACGTCCCAGCAATGATTGGCCACCCAAATTTCATTTCCTACATATTTAATAGTTACAACGCAAGAGTAATAATCAAAGCTGGGAAATCATTGGAACAGAAACATTTAGGACCTTAAAAGATCACACAACTTAGTAGCAACATGCTTCCTATTACATGAGTCGAAACGTTGAGGTTTCAGAGCGCGCTTGAGAGAAAATACAACTTTTACACGACAGAGATGAGGCATCATCGTCATTTTAGAGAAGTTTCTTGATAGCAAGGAGAGATGAGAAACTTACCGGCCAGACATGTTGATAACCAGATCGAGCAGGGTCCCATAAGAAATCTATGGCTTTGACCAGATAAGTAGAGAATGAATCTGTTTGGTTCGAACCATGTGTCTCGCTTGGGACTCTTGCTGCTTGAGCCGAAACAATAACTAGAGCAAGGAACAAAGGGAATAAGACAACCATGGACATATTTTGCCAGACTTGCCAATCTGTTCCGATTGGAGACATTGAGGTCGGAGTGAGTGAGAACCAGTCGCTGCTCTTGCTCTTTCTTATATAGAGGCAAGGTTTTTCACATGAAGATCTAATCAGCATCAATCCCGATTCCCGAATCATCATTTTATTATATAAAATTATACCCAACTCCTGGGGTTAAAAACATTTAAAAAAAAAAAAAACAGGTCAAGAATTAACAGTAATTGTGCAGGATCACGTGACTCATATTTTATATTATAATAATAATAACATAAGGACGATTGAAATTAGAGTGTGGATGCATATGAATACTATACGTAGAATTACAAACAAGGATCACAATGATTAATTAGTCCCATGATTCACGTGCATGTCTTTTTAATTATAACTTCAATCTGTAAATATACAAATATATATACATATATAAATAGAAATTAGGTGCAGCCAACATTATTCGCATATCAGCAGCAAATACGAACATAATACATACAAAAGCATTATATATATGTATATATATATCCTATCAGCATACACGTACGTTTCTAAGATCCTAAAATGCCTATCCAAACTATATTCCTATCAACACATCATCGCTGGGACGATCGAAATCGATCGCACCAAAGAGATTATTTTTAATTAGCTAGCTTTGATGAAAACCATCCATGACTGATGCACACCAGCAACAAGCCACAGGCTTCAAGGGATTTCATTTCAGAGAGGGAAGATTAGAAGTTCATTTTGTCCATCTGATCGATCAGTGACGTGGGAAAATACATCTTCTCCACTCTATGAATCCAACGGCTCTAAGTTATTTGCTTCATTCAGATTTTATCATTTTATCTGAACCAGTTGCAATGTAGAATTATCTTCGGTCAACTCTATCATTCTTTTTGTGCTTTCCCTATTTTGTTTTTACCAGCCCTTACATTACATCCTCCCGAAAACGTAGATCTTGTAAGGTTTTTTACCCAATAACCTCTCTTCTTGAATCACGAAATCTTTTGTGATTGGTCCACATTGTTTTTCTTTTTTAAAAAGAAAAGGTTGGCCTGTCTTTTTCCAATCAAATTCAACCCGATGCTATGGGTTCCCCCTTCTCCAATCAGATCTGCCGCCTCCTCTATCATTTTCTACTCCTTTCCTTTGCTTTATCATTTTAAAAATCTTTCTTTCGTTTTGTTTGTTCGTAGGGCTGCTTAATTAGTGGGAGGTGATGATATATGCTAGCGTAGTATTTTTATGTAAAAGTGTCATGAATCCATATTATTAGACGACAGTTCTGTTTAGATCCTCAAAAGCTTATCCTTCATTTGGAATTTTTTATTTTTATTTTTTATAGTGTTTCATGACTTCACTCGTTCATTGTATGCTTATGGATTTTCAGACCATTAGGGGGCGCCACCTTGCCCTGATATGACATCTAGCTACTTCTACACCAAGTTGTTTTTTCTTCTTAGCCCAACTTCCATGCCAAGTGGTTGAAAAGGTACATTTTCAGTCTTATATATTTTATAAGGTTGTCTAATGTCACTATTAATTAAAATTGTGAGCAACATCATACATACGATCTGAGGTCATAAAATTAAGTACAGACGCTGAAATGGTAGTATTAGTTTCAGGTTTGCACAGTATCAGTTGAATGGCTTGAACATCCAAAAACAGCACAGCTTTGCAATACTAAAATTTAATGAAATGAATAATGCTTTGTAAACAAATTAAATTAGTTATTGTATAGACAATTGGGATATTATTAGCTTTTGAAAAGAACAAGGTTGGTTGTAGAAAAGCTGTCCTAATCCTAACAGTGAACATAAAATGTGTTGATATAATCGATCATTTACGTTCAGACCGAGCTCACCTCTCACGTGCACTGCACATGGACACTCTAGCTCTCGATGATAATTCAAACACGTATATTTTTTTTTTTTTTTGCCACACATAGATATTTTCTTATTAAGGATAATTATATTTGAGGCACTGATCGAGTATTAGACATGAAAGTACATTTCTCAATAAGAAATTCAAATCTTGGTTTGTTTTATTGCAAACTCACGAGGGAACAGTCATTTTTATTAAATTTAAAGGTTTATTAATATTTTTCAAAGTAGGTTTTTTCCATAAAACAATTAATTAACAATTTTTATCAGTTAGCTGTTCGGATCAATCCGCGTAACTCGAAGTATCTTGGCCTGCAGGAACGAATATTTTCCAACCGCTTCACTTAACAAATCTTTTGTTTATTTTAAGAAATGATCACAAGCAATTTTGAATATCAAATTCTTCTTTATGATTATAAATTAAACTTTTGGTTATTAAATTATACTTGAAGCGACTTTTTCTGCACGATCGCGTGTTTTTTTTTTTGGCCCCCTTGGATTGGAAAGCTACTTTGGTGAAAATGATATTGGAAGCTCAGAGTCATCAACTTGGCCAAGGAGCATAATATATACTACATCCGATCCTTCATATAAGAGTTAGTTGACTAATTTGAATAGATTAAAATTAGTTATTTGTAATAAATACATATTGTCTTTTCTAAAATATTTTTGCTAATCAAGTATATTGGATCATCGAATTACCATTATTATAAGACTACCTTAGAAAAAAAAAAATGAATGAATATGAGAAACAAAATGAATTAAAGTCTTATATTTAGGATCAAAATAAAAATAAAACAAGATCTTATATTAAGCACCAGAGGTAGTACATACTATTAATATATAGTCTTACAAGCTCCTAAAACTTTGATGTTGATTATATTACTTGGACACACAAATACACGAACTGTTTTTTTTCCTCCGTCTGCAATATTATCGACAAGCCCTCTATAATATTACATTCGATTCTTAATATAACAATTAGTTTGATTTTAAATCTGGTATTAAATATAAGATGATAATTTACTTCATCTCTTAATTATATTTATTTATTTTCTTAAAATAGTCTTTATAATAGTTACATGTGTTAAATATTTCATTAAATGGTAATTCTAGCTAATAATATATATTGTTAGTAAAGATATTCTAAAAAAACAACACCTATTTATTATTAATGACAAACTTAACTAATTTTTTTAATATACTCAAATTAATTAACTAATTCTTGTATTAAGTACCGGAAGTAGTATTATAAGTTGTAGTATACTCTGGTGACAGAAATCAAGACGTGGGCTGCAAAGGATTGGGAAGTGAAAGTGGAATGGTGCAACCGCGAAGTGAACCAAGCGGCAGATTGTCTTACTAAACGAGCGCTAGGAGCAGCTGAAGGCATTACGTGTTTCAGTTCCCCCTCCGGATTTTCTTACTGCTTTTTTAGCTTCTGATTTAGACGCTTCGTAGCTTTGTAATGTCCTCTCCCCAATAAAAAAAAAAATATAGACAAATTAGACAACAAGGATTCTATCCATGAAAGTTGAAAAAGAGTTTTAAAAGACTTATTATCATTTTTGGAATTATTATTTATATCGTGCATATGACGTGACAATGGAAAAATATCTAGTTTAAAAAGAAGGGAAAGTTCTGATCAAAAGTGTTTGAGTAGTTTATTAATCAAATGAACCTGATGCAATGCACTTTTAACGAGTTCAATTAACTTCTTCTCAGTTATGTGTAACAATTTTCAAAATAAACTAACTTCTTTTCAGTTGTGTGTAACAATTTTCAGAATAAACATCAGTGCACATATTATACATGGTAAAAAAAGAGTTGTGTCCACTAAAAATGAATTAAATAAGTTATTACACCTTCTCAAATTCATGTCCCTTTAGCTCCTAAAAAGCTACCTTTAATCAATTTTTCTTAAATAATCTACTTGAAATTAAAAATTAAACAATCTCTTGGCACGGTTAAAGCACATATTCATCAACTTGGCCAAAGAGCATACTTTACATATTGTCTTACAGGCCCCTAAAATTTCAGTGTTGATGATGACATTACTTGGATAAACACATGCAAAGTTTTCTTTTTCTGTCTACAACATTATAGACAGGCCGTTTAATTATTATACCATTACATTCAAGTTGTGAAATACAGACAAATTAGACAACGAGGATTCTATCCATAAACTTTTAAAAAGCTTTGCTACCATTTTTTGAATTATTATTTATATTGTGCATGTCATCAAAAGAGCGAGATATTTAGTTTAAAAAATTATACTTGGAATTAAAAATTAAACAACGTCCTGTCGCGGTCAACATACTCAGACAGTTCATCAACTTGGCCAAGGAGCACACTACATAGTCTTACGATGGCCCCTAAAACTTCAGTGTCGATGAAATTACTTTGGAATTTGGATAAACACATACTTTTTTTTTTCCTGTCACAACATATAAATCTTTATAACATTACACTCAAGTTGTAAAGTAAAGACAAATTAGACAACGAGGATTCTATCCATAACATAGTTTAGAAAAGATTAAATGCAACTTTTTGAATTATTATAATCATATTGGTGCACGACATCACAAGGGAAAAATATCTAGTTAATTGAGAAAAATCTACTTGGAATTCAGAATTAAAGAACCTTGTCGCTGTTAACACAGACAGTTTTGGTCTGCACAGCATTCTTTTGAACTCGATCAAGAATCTGCAGTGTTTATCTTCCCAGCATTTTTATATCAACGTAACATCGATCACCAACCAAAGTTAAATGAATAAACAACCCCATTAATTAATCCCTTGAAAAGTGCATGTGTTGTAATCAGCCTGTCCCTATGCATGCTGCAAAAGCCGCCACGATGGTAAGATACACAGCTGCAAAACGCAACAAAACCAGTTACATATATTACTTTACGGTTTTGAGCCAAAATAAAACAAACGAATAAAAAACAGTAATTGATGGGAATTCTCAGGCGTCTGTCGGGGCATGAGATATCTGGCACCAGACATCATCAATTTCGAGTTTCAACATGTTCTGAACTTGTCCGGCCAAACGCGTTCGGTCCATCCCTTCAGTGTTTTCCGGCCCTAATAAATTCCCTACAAATTTTGTCTTATTTTCTACCTATTTAAGTCTAGTCCTGTTTTCCTGATCATTAAGGCCGTGTTCGGATTAGTTTTTTAAAATTTTTTATCTCAACTTATATGAAAACAAACTTTTTATGCGCTTTCAAGGGTTCTCAAATTCCCCCCAAGTCTAATCCTGTGTCCCAGTTCACTCTTTAGGAACAAAAAACGAAGACGTTTCAGGCTGCGCGTGTGATCATACCTGCAGGATCACTCACCGGACAAGGCCATGCCTAGTTCAGACAGACATCATGGGCAAATGATTTGGTTTTACATAACATTACACCGGATATATGATTTTACATGATGCGTTATTCATATGCTACTTCCGGTCTTTAATATAAGAGTTAGTTGACTAATTTGAGTATATTAAAAAATTAGTTAAATTAGTTATTTATAATAAATAAGTGTTGTCTTTTATAAAATATATATCTTGCTAATCAAGTATATTAGCTAGAACTACTATTATTACAAAAATTACTTTGAAAAAAATAGATAAATATGAAAGAGAAAGTGGATTGAAGTCTTATATTTAGAATCAAAATAAAAATTAAACGAAATTTTATATTAAAAATTGGAGGTAGTAATATACAGTACACAAATAATACCGCCCCAAAACACAACATCATGTTCAAATTTTATCAAACTTGGGACAATCACATTTTAGAATATAACATCATTGTCATATATCTTAGTGCAGCCCAGTAAACAAATCCTTGATGCAGGAAGATTGCGAAGAGCAACCGTATGGCATATATAGGCCTTAAATCGGAGCCTGTAGCTACTTGCAGAAGTCCTCAAATCCCATGTATTCGTTACGCTGAATCTTTTGAACCATGTCTGACACACCAACTCCACCTGAAAACCACCAAAGCATCAAAAGGCCGACGAAAGAAAGCTCAGAAAACCTCGTAAGAAACAAAAGTGCAATAATAATACTGCACTATATATTCTAACTTTAATTTTAATTTTGCAAGACACTGACCCAATGCAAATGCACTGACAAATACTGTAAAGGCCAGGACAAATATAATCAGAGACGCCCTTCCAAATCTTGTAACCAGCCTGTCAATGATATCCTGCCCTATGTATGCAGCGATTGTTGCCACAAAGGTCAGATACAAAGCTGCAAAAAACACAACGTGAAGTTGCGTATTACTTTTACAGTCTTGAACCAAAACGGGCGAATAGTGAATAAAAAAAGGATGATCGATGAGTAGTTTTTATAGTTTACCGTAAGGAACAGGAAAACGGTTCAGGAGGTAATATTCTACAGTAGAGATAGATGCTGAGTATGTCATTCCAAGTGTGGCTGTGGCACTTGCCACCTGCACAAGTTTTCAACATATATACAAGACTTATTGCATATATACACCGGGAGTTCCCATTAGATTTCCTTTATTATATTCCTTCAATTTTAACGTCCAAGTTCCTTTAGTTCATGAGAATTAAATACTCACTTGAGGGGCGATTCCCAGTTCCAGAAACAAAGGACCCATGACAAATCCACTGCCTATACCGAGAAGGCCGCCGATAAGTCCAGCTAAGGTGGCACAGAAACTAGAGAGAATCAGATAGTGCAATGGCCAATTTGTGCCCCGATCTCCTTTGGAAGGAATGGTTCTCCATCCCTGATGAAGCCCTATTGCTTGGTACAGATGCACTCCTAGAGAAGCCGGTACCTTCAACAGGTCAGAGAAAAGTGATTTACCATCTGCTTTTTAAGCCACGGCTCATATATGTGCATGCATATGCCTACCTGTAATAGATTTACTATCCAAAACGTGGTTGAACATGTACTTGTGTATGTCTGTTGAAGAATATGTTTGAGTGGTTAGTTCGAGAAAATGCTCAGAGTACGTAAAAGGAAGGAGAATGCAAGGAGAGACGTAGTCCGGTTTCCATGGTAATTTCATATATATTTCAATAGAAACATATTTTTTATGATTTTATTTCAATATAATTATCTGCTAGATTACTTGGCCGTCACCGTATGAGAATATCTAGTCTCCCTTTGGCAGCCATTCTTCCTTAAAAATCGGGAATTTAGATTTGTAAGACTTTAATTATATACACATGTCAAAACTTATTCTCACGTCCCTATCATTTCATTGTCCTTGCTTTTACAAGAATCTGTCCATAGTCATTATTATTTCAGTCCGCTTTATTGTTTATGAACCTTCCTATTTTATCCCATTCCTATTATTCTTCATGAATCATCCTATTTTATCCCACTCCTATCTTTTCCAGCAACCAAACAGATGAGAAAGTCACCTTAATAATCTGCAGAAAAAAGTATGCGAGCCAGACGAAGGAGATATATCCCAGCTCTTTCCAATATATGTTGCCAAGAATCGGACCCTGATGAATCAGCATAGTTCCGTTCAAGTAAACAAGGATGGTCAAGAAATTGTGTGTGTGTGTGTGTGTGTGTGTGTGTGTGTGAGTGAGAGAGAGAATTAGATTGTTAAGTCAAACATGATTTGCACATAATTCGCAAACCTGGGGTAGTCTGTTGTCTTTTTGAGATTTTGCGGGAAGAGAGTTGTATTCTGGCTCCTCATCACAATCCGTCCCTGGATGAAAAGACAAAACCGAACTTTGGTTTCAGTAACATATAAATATATTTGGGGATTTACTTGGTTAACCCTTTCATGAAAATAATAACTAAATCCACAAACCATCAGGAGATTTCAGAAGCGTGGCGGTCTCCTGCAATTTTAAATAAAAAAGATTTATTTATTTAAGCACGGATGGAAGACTTTAATAAGTCTGAATTGAATGAATTTGGGGATGGCTTCTCTCATTGAGACTACATTATGTAACAGCATTAGCATAGCCCAGTAAATGCATAGAAAGAAATGCGATCGAGGAGAATAAGAGGAAAACAAAACAAATAAAAAAGTAGTGTTAAAGCAGATTCATGTGTCTGCGCTTATAATGAGTATAAATTAAAACAAGAAATAACCGGGGTGGAAAAATACATACATGGGTTCAATAAATTGATTATATTGAATATGCGTGAAAATTTTTGAAAATATGAGAGCATAATGTAAAGATCTTGCGCTACCTACTTAGGAACTTTCCAAAACTAGCAACCTGTTTCGTTAAGGTTTCCGTTTTCCAGGTGTGAATACCCTTGAAGAATGCCTTAATTGAGGTTCCTGTAAATCCAACAATAAAAATGAACCATCGAGTAGTTGAAGTGATTAATTGAGAAAACCTAATTGAACATTCATATTTAAAAACGAACCATCGAGTAGTTGAAGTGATTAATTGAAAAACTAATTGAACATTCATAATTACTACCTATGAAGACAATGATTAGAAGCACAGTGATCATCCAGTCAGCAAACACAACGCTCAAACTAACTCCAATGGTAATCCCCAGCATGATCATGGGCATCATAAGCATCACCATATTATAGTCAATTAATGGTATATCCAATGTAGGATGCTTCAGTTTCAGGTTGAAGTAAACGGTTGAGATGGCCGCACCTGTGATCATACCTACAAAATCATGGTTATAGAAAGGATTTAGATCGTCACATGAGGAAGTCGAGATCAAAAAAGATGCAAATAGTATAAAGTTTCCATAGATATTGAGGGAGCAGGAGTTCATAACCCATGTCGCTTTGGGCTTCAAATGCTCCAAGCCTGCTCGAGTTTGAAGGTTATTTTGCGATCCTATGTATTCCTCTTGATCGTATTCTGGGTTGTCGTTAAAGATTTTGTTAATTAAACAAGGTTTGTGATTTAGATGTTTTATATATATATATATATATATATATATATATATATATAACATGACCTTTTTTCATTATCATGCTAACCTCTCTATTCTATCTAATACTAGCTCTGTCCTTAATATAAAAATTAGTTGACTAATTTAAATAAATTAAAAAAATTAATTAAGTTAATTATTTGTAATAAATATGTATTATCTTTCTTAAAATATCTTTATTAATCAAGTATATTGGCTATATCTATTATTAATATAGGGGTTAAATTGGAAAAATAATAAATGAATATGAGAGATAAAGTGAATTGGAGTTTTATATCTAAGATCAAAATAAAAATTAAATGAACTCTTATATTATTAAGGACCGGAGGTAGTATTATTATGTAAATCTTTTGAAAGCATCATGTGTTTTTTTATGACTATGATATGCTCCACTTGAATTTTTTTTCCATGATAATTAACTTTAAAGCCGACATCTTTTTGAATTTATAAATGATAATTACATTTTGAAATGGCAGTTGCAGATTTTGCGTCAAACCCAATAATGAGGATTAACATGGGAACAAAGATGCCGCCGCCACCAACACCCCCGACGCTCCCAAATGCTGCTCCCAAGGATCCAATCACCGTCCCAGCAACGATACGCCATCCAAATTTCATTTCCTGCATTTTATAGTCAGAACACAAAAGGGACAGTTAGTTAAACTCCAGTTTCATCATTCCCGTATTAGCTTAGCTAAGAGCCAAAACCTTGTTAATGGTTTGATAGCTCGATCTTTAGGAAGGCGGTTGCAAGATCAAGTCCCAAAGTGGATGGCATAAAAGATGTGTGTGTTAGATCGATCTCTTCCCCGTGCGAAAGGTGGGGGTGTGTAAGCAGGGGGGGGGGACTTAGCTAGGAAATCGTTGGAACGACAGCACGTTTAGTTAGTTAATTCTGAACCAGGGAGATCATAATGCTAATATGCTTTCTATTACATGTTCTGTGCTTTGAAGTTTTAGGGTGAGTTTGATATGTGTCGGAAAAGAGAAACATGCGGAGCTATAGGGAGGGGAATATAATTTGAGGGAACTTACAGGCCAGACATGTTGATAACCAGATTGGCCAGCTCTCCATAAGCCATCCATGGCTTTGACGATGTAACTAGAAAATGATGAGTCTGTTTCGATCGAACCAGACATGTCGGTTGGGATTTTTCTCTGAGCTGAGGCTATTACTAAAGCTGCAAATGAACCCAACACAATCATGGGCGCGGCAATGTTTCTCTTTCTCATGACTCGCCAGTCTGCGCCTAGTCTTGCCATTGAGAAGTGAGAATCACTCGTTATGCCAATATGCACGTATATATAATCAAATTTATGAAGAAAAAAAAGGTTATTATTTCAATAGTATAAAAATTATAAAATAAAATAAAAGGCGACGATAACCAATATCGTAAAATCTGCAGAAGCTAGTTATACAGCAGGTTGCTCTTGTACATTTTCTCGCTATATTTTCCAGTAGAAATGTATAATTTCAATGCACGCGGACTTGAGAGGGAAACAAGTATAACTAGCTAGCTAGTCTACGAATTAAAGAAGCCTCTTTTATATAATGAACAACTGGAGACCGAAGCGTTTCGGGCTTTCAGCCTTTTCATGCGATAAGTCCCCAGCATCCTTTACCCGTACGATGAAAGTTGTTCTCTTTTTTTATCATGAAAAAAAGAGGTTGTCTCCTTTTTTTTAACTAATATTTATTTATTATAAATTAATTATTTAACTCTCGTATTAATAATTAAAAATAGTGTACGCAGAAAATCACAGCAGTGTGCAAGAAATTAAAGGCGCATATGTCAATAGGTACATATGTTTATACACAATTTTCCCCAACCATCGAAATATGCATAAAGTTCAAACTAGAGTTATATCTTTTGCGGAATGCTCCCTCGGTCCTCGCACAACTTTTTATGAAAGAATATTTTAAGATAGTCCTCTCATTTATAAGAAATAGGCCTGTTTGTCTAACCTTCAAAACCAAACCCGAATTATGGTTTTGGTTCCAACGTTGTCAAAACACGAGAAAAAAACTGACAAAGCATGGTTTTAGATTAAAACCATGATTTGGGGTTCAAAATTATAGTTTTAGAAGAAGTAAATTCATTCTGCTTTTGACTCAAATTGAAGAGTATGATTGTGTCTGTTAAAGTAGATCTAACAATAATATGACTTAATATCCTTCAATTATTTTTTTATAAATATATTTAATCTTATATCTTATAAATATATACACATATTAATTATTTATTAATTATATTATCTTATGTATTATTAATTATGTTGGTAAAAAATATATTATTAATAATTTTATTCCTTCAAATTAAAATATATCATAAAATCTATCTTTTATGTAATTATCATATTGACTTATGTTTTTTTAGTAATTTATATATAAAAAGTGTTTCTGATAATAACTATCTAAACACTCTCACTTCTTAGAATCACTTTTTTACAAAATTATTCTCCAGAAGTTATTCTCCAAACCATGATTTGGTTTCATCCAAACACCCCCTAAGTCTAAGATATTTGTTTCAGCTTTTCTTTTTGACGCCGTGAATGAAGGTATATGTGTGTGTGTGTGTGAAAAAAGAATAATGCAGGTACTCCTCTGGTCTTTAATATGAGACATAATTATTGAGTTGGTTTTGATCCTTAATATAAGATTCATTTCTCATATCTATCAATTTTCTCTAAATTACCCTTATAGATACTCCTTCAACTATAATCAAGTAAAAGAGGGAGATGAGGTATTAAGAGAGATGATTATGGTGTTTTAGAAAAAATGTGTCACATTTCTTATAATTAATTAATTTACCTAACTTCCTTAATATAATCAATGAGTTAAATAGGTCTTATATTAAGAACTGGAGGAGTATTTATTAGTAAGTAATGAGGTATTTTTGAAAAGAAAATTAATTTTTCAACATATTTATCAATTTTAGTTGTTAATTTGAATTATTTGTTTTGATATTTGCCAACACGATTTGCCTCTTTGAAAAAGAACATGTACAAATATAATCTGCTGGCTGGCTTATTCCATTGTTGCAACTTGCAAGGGCGATTCTGCTTTCCAATTGTTTAAACTTTAATGTGACAGAGTAATACAGCCAAGCTCCACGATGATGACCACAAGACCTGTTCCTTTCATTCGCAGACAATAACACTCTTTCCCTCTCTCTGCCAACGCTTATGATGCCGAAATGAAAAACACTGCCTGTTACAGTTACCTCCTCTTTACTGGGCGAGGGATGCAATAAGTGAAAAAAACAAATTAAACAATAAAAAATATTCTCATTTTATATATATACCATTTTCGGTCCTTAATATAAAACATTGTTTGACTTTTATTTTGGTTTTAAATATAAGACCCCAATCTACTTTGTCTCTCATATTTATGCATTTTTTCCAAAATAATCCTTCTAACAATGATAGTTATAGACTTATAACCAATACACTTAACTAATAAGGATATTTTAGGAAAAACAACACATATTTATTACAAATAACTAACTTAACTGTTTTAAGTTTTTTCTTAATTTCTTCAAATTAGTCAACTAATTTTTATAATTAGAACCGAAGGTAATATATTCGAATGAGATGGGAAAAAAAACTAACGTGTATAGAAAAAAAAATGTAGGTCTCAAGCCTTTTTTTTTCCCCTCTGGCAATTTTTGAAGCATTTTTTTTCAAAACTCTTGCGAATTTTACAGGTCATACTTTTGAAAAGAACGCATGTACCCCTCCTTTATTTACCCCCCTTCCAATTTTCATTTCTTCTTATTAGTTTTGGTAAATTGAAGCACCCAAATATCCTATCAGAATACTATAGTTTTAGGATTCGACTGGCCAACGTATTTTTTTTCCTATATATAAAAATGAAAAACAGAATGTTGATGATACGTACGTGAGTCCATTGGCCGTTAGTTTCTTTCTCATCAAATTGTAACGAAGCATCAATATCAGTAATAAGTAATATATCCGGTCAAAAAAAAGTAGTAATAAGTCCTCTATATGCGGTGACCACAAGCCCACTGCCTTTAGGCCATGTTTGGTAGGAGGAATTGGTTTTTGATGGAATGGGAATGGTAATAGGATTGGGAATGGGAATGGTAATGGGATTGGGAATGGGGCTTTTATTTGTGTTTGGTAGGAGGCAATATATGGAAGGAATACATGTATTTATTTTATTTTATAATAAGATATATAAAATTAAAAGACTATAATACCCTTGATATTTTAGAACTTGGGACTCTAACTTTATGCACTCTTTTTCTAAGAAAAAGAAGACCGCATAGTCATTTATATTGTTTTAAAAATAAATATATTAAAATTTGCCTCATTTTACAATAAAAATAAATAAAAATAAATTAAATATTTTGAAAATCAGAAAATTTTCACCGTATCCCATCAAATTTAAATATAAAAACGTAATAAAAATTTAAAATTCATCCCAAAAAATTATTAATAACTCCTTAAAATTATAGTTTACTTAATATTATAATTTACTTAAAATTTAGTAATACATTTTAAAATTAATAATATATAAGATCAAAAGATAAAAAGCAAATGACAAGTCTTGCTATAATTTTCTGTAATATTAGTTCAAGTAAGTAAGATAATCCATATCTTACTTCAAACGGCTATCAAAACATTCCTACTTGAAACAAAATATTTCAAGTCTATAACAAAATATTCCTGTTTGAAACAAAATATTTCAAGTCTAACAAATATTCCTATGTTTCTCATGAAAATATCCCAACTTCAGTCACACAAATATCAAAATATTCATCAGCATATTCATGGAGATATTATTTCACGGATCACATCAACTTTCCCCTCTTGAGACATGGCAAAAAATCCAATCAGTATGCTCTCATCAGATATCATCTTGACATAAGCTGCCATACGTTCTTTGTGTGAAAGTCCTTCAACCTTCATAAGATCACCATAGAGTGACTCCTTCATCCCATCTAAACGTTTCTCACGTTCAACCCTATCCAAACGCATTCCCAGGCGATCACTTGCCTCCATCAAACCTTCAGAAAATGAACGAGCAACTGTCTCAATACCTTTGAGTAAGATGTCATCACGATCAGCTCTTGTGCGCTTTTGCTTTTTGGACCCTGAACTTGCATCAGATGAAATGTGCTCATTTTGATTATTGACATGTGAAGTGTCTTCCGGATGTGAAGTGTTGACATGTGATATATCCATATCAGCATCTGGGTCAGCATCAAGCATTGAATTGTCCAAACCATTCTGATCTTGAAGCTCCTCAAGGACATCTTCACATGTTTGAGCATCCTTGCCGGTTGCCCTATCCTTGCCAAACATGTCATGAAGCTCATCATAATAAGAGAAAGACTTGTTCCGGAACTTAGCTGCCTCCTTGTGCGCCTGTAAGGATAACACAAGTTATAATCATTAATAAATAATCAAACACCTGAAATACAATTATGAAATTAATTGTAACTTAAACAGTTATGAAATTACCAAATTGGTTGAGGTATGAAACAATTGAATGGATAATAAAGGGTTACAACCTCAGTTATTTCAAGTTCTGAAAGTATAAAGTATTTTCATTGACTCATTGAAGAAGGATTGATTTTCATCAACCGGTTTGAAATGTTAAATGTTGAAAGAGTTTATTTGCTCTTAGAGATTCAGCCAACCCGGATCTAAACTAATGGCTAACATGGAATATATATCATTATCATATCATATGACGATGAAGAAAGAAGAGAAAATAAAATATCCTTGTGTATGTAATGGATACAGATCAGCTTGGGGAGAGGGGAAGGAGAATAAAATAGAAAAGGATGAAGGGGGGAAAAACGGAGAGAATAAAGACGATGAAGGGGGGCCGTAAGTTGGGATGCGAAGGGGAATCATATTAATTGGGGTACCTTCGCAAGAGAGAAGGTCATCATCAAAATTTTATTTACTATCACATTTATAGTCTACATGTATCAATCATAGTAGTGAATAGTAGCTAAATGAAAAATATCAGTGGTCATTAACAAAAATAATAGCCATATATGTAAATTGCAAAAGTAAACATTTACCTTTACATACTCATCCCATACTGCCTTAGGAGCTGTCACACATTTCCTCTCAGCATTCCAACCAAATCCAGATAAATTGAGAAGGTCAGAAACCACACCATAGTCAGTTTTTAG